CCCCCTGGTGACGCAGAAGTAGAACTCCCGCTCAGTGAGACCACATACGAGCCCCTCAGGCGTTCGGCATGCTGTGTGAGTGCTCACTGGTGGCACTGACACGCAGTATTGCAGTTTTTTACCTGCCCAAATTGACACCTGTTACTAATTTCATTTTTCTTTAGAAAACATCGTGCGTAGGGGTAGCCCCCTCTGAAAAGGCTAGTTGCCAACACGTGCCAGTATCCCTTCCTAGATTCTCATTCCCCGACTGCCCCTTTGGACAGTCCTGGTGCTGTCGGCAGCACGACACTGGGGGCGGTCCGATTGTCCTCATTCTCTCAGAAGCCAGAACGGATCAGCTTTAAGATGGATTTGTGAACTGTGGAACGTTTTTATTTCTTGATTTGTAGTTTTGGCAGTCTTACTTTCCTCACTTTTTTTTTTTTACATCATGATCTCCCGAGACGACGTGTTACTGTGTTGCTGTGTAATTTTGTTGCTCAGTGATTTGTCGTGATGCTAATCTGTGCTTTGCCTTGGCTTTCTGCTTTGTGTTATCTTTGATGTTGTCGCGTCCTCCCCTCCATCCCCACATCCCCTCCCCCCCGTCTCGTCTGGTAACTTTATTTCCACGCTTTTTTTAAAATTCATTTTTATCCATCCCCTTCTTCCCCCTCTCCCTCTTCTCTCTTTTTTTTTTAACGCTTGTGATGTCTGCACTGGCGCTTTGGCCTGAACAAAACCAATCCTCCAAAAACCACAAAAAAAACCTGAAATTATGCTTTAAAAAAATCCCCGGATCATGATTGGCTCTCCTTGTCACCGTGACGACGACCCCGCCCTCTGCTCCTCTCACCTGCCCGCCTGTGCCTGCCCCCTTGGCCTGCCCTGATTGGTGGCTGCTTCGCCGTTGCTATGGTTGCCTGTGCTGTGTGAACCCTGTAGTTCACCAAAATATGGGCTTCTTGCTGACAGGTACCACTTCTGCGAGAAGTGTTTCAACGAAATCCAGGGAGAGAGTGTTTCCCTGGGAGACGACCCCTCGCAGCCCCAGACGTGAGTATACCCCCGTGCCCCCCACGCAGCTTTTTCTTCCTCTGTATACTTGTGTGTCTCTCTTCCCTGCCTCTCCTTTCTGGTCACGGCTGCTGGAGAGCTGTGGTGGACTCTGTGGTCTCCAGTTTCTCTTACTTCCCAAAG